TATCTTCCATTCCTTTGTAAACACACACATTATATCACGATATTACATGTAGATATAGTAAATACTCGAACGTCTAATCGGATAAGTTTTACAAATGTTTAGTAGGGTAAGATTTATTTGTGTCGATAGGATTAATGACAAAAGCTAATTTTTACTCATTCGGGCGATTAACACAATACGGTTTATGCCAAACGCTATTGTATGATGTAGGCGATGGTAATCGAGATTGGAAGGAATACGTCTCGCAATGTTCGGAAATAGGTGAACTCGAGGGCGAGAAACCCGGCGCAGAATCTTCGCGATTTAATTCTAACTCTTCTCGGCGCCTCTTTTCTTCCCTTTTAACTTCTGCAGCAATTAATCGTTTGTACCAACGTTCGGCTCGCTTCTTGCTGAGGTGGCTTTTATCTTTTCGATTCATTCTTGTTTTTGTTATCTGATATGATCAAGGTGAAATGAATATCACTCTCTGTGTGCGACTTGTGCGATTTCGCAAGCCTTGCCCAAAGACGGGCGATATTTGCCAACGATGGGAGGAGGAATGCGAAAATCGATAAGTGTTTTCGATAATTGAAAACACCGTTAACACAGGTTTAACACAGCGAATAATCAGTTAGATTTAACAATTTAGAAAATATAAGTCGTTCTTGGCAACTAGTGGAGTCGTAAGCGAAAAATGATTCTTTTAATTGGCAACTGGGTTCACTGTGGACAATCAGTGTGGCTTCGTAGGCCTCGCCCAAGGATGAGCAATCTGCTAACGATGGGAAGAGGAAAACGAAAAACCATAGAATTTCTCTGCGTTGAAAACACCGTAATCACTGGTTGATACAGCGAACCATTGTAAACGAAATAGATCGAAATTTGATAAAGTTGTTTTATTACAGACAATTTATTAAATCTTGGCCAGGAACGTTTATTTCAATTTTATGTCGTGAATTCAAGACGTTCGGATGAAATCTACGTAAATTGTGTGCTTCATAGTTTTATCTGTCAACTATAGCTGCCGACGGCGCCGACGGGTGCTTTTGTTCAGAGACAACTTTATTCGACTGCAAGTTAAAAGAGAAGAGGATATACAATTTCAAATTTCCTACCTTGATTAGATGTAAAGTCGATCGGCAGTATGTATGGCTTGGTGATGTGTCGAATTTTGACAATTAACTTTGATTCCGCAGATGAAGTAACAATACGAATGCTTAATTCGAATGATGATTTTTTGAAACCCCTTTTAATATTCGATTTCGACGGACAGAGTGACGATGTGAATGGTCTGAATTTTGAATAAGGACTCTTCTACTTTATGTTATTCCCGCTTACTTATAATACACTAATTGTCACGTGATGGATCATCTCTATGGGAATCACAGCATTGCTACGTGACAAATTAGGAATTTTGTAACTGTCTACTTTCGAGGATTGTGCTTAAGTTTCGTCTTCTTGATTATCTTATTTACGCTATTCCTAATTTCTCATATTCTTGAGACACGTAGATGCTGCTGATTGTGCTGAAGGTTCGTCTTCTTGATTATCTTATTTACGCTATTCCTAATTTCTCATATCCTTAAGACACGTAGATGCTGCCGAAGTTTCGTCTTCTTAATTTCTCGTATTTCGTTGGGTATTAGGGACATGCAAGGTGCGTGATAAAATGTAGGTATCGTAGTAGCTCGTATTTTGCTAATGTTGCGTCTTCGATGTTTCCCAGAACTTCCTTAGTGATGCCAGTGGAATGTGGCAGGCGCGTGCGAACTTGTCCTTGCTGAAGTTGCATCTGCGATGTATCTGGTAACTTCCTTGCTGATGCCAGTGAATCGTTCAAGGCGCGTGGCAACTTAGTATTTGCCGAGTCTTCTTATGCGTTATTTCCTGTTTCTTTCAATAAAATATCATTTTTTTTTATAATAGTAAGCCTAATATATTATTTCATGGCTTGTTTCTCACGGCTGGTTTCTATCAATTTCCAGTATTCTTGCGTTATGTTGTATTGATCATTATTTGTTCTTTCTTTGTTACGATCTTCCATTTTTATTATCATTTATTAAATATTTATTCCTTCGCTGAAAATATGATTTATTTTGTAACGCATAAAGGTTACTATATGCACGTGTTGATTATCCAACATGGCCGCCTGTGAATATCCCTAGTATATAGTGACATTTTATTAATGTGAAATCTATTATTTATCCATTAATTATTTGTGACTTTATTTTAATAGTTGACGTATAATTGCAGTGGGAATAATATTATTTTGCATTTATTTAATGTGCGTAATTATTGCATGTATTCTGATGCGCACGTGTAAGAGCTATCATAACAGTCCAAGATGGCCGCACGTGAGTGTTTCTAGTAAAAGTGACGCGTCCTTAATTTGTTTAATACTGAAATAATTATTCGTCCGTCGCTTATTTTCCTCTATTTTAGCGCAGTTAGAATTTTTAAATGACAATAGTATTGTTTGTGTAATCATTATAATGTGTATATACTATGTGTTATTTTAATATAATAACATGTGGATTGTGTTATTGTTAAATTTTATAATTTATCAATAGCACTGTTTTATTGTTGTGTTCTCAGCAGTTTATGTTTATAGAGTGTTCCTTTAATTAATTTAATACTAATATGTGCATAGTGTGTTATTACCAGTTCTAGTGCATAACATAACCTTATTTCTCTATGCCAGAATTAATACAATTATGCTATATTAACTTAGTACAATATAATAATTTTTTATCTTAATCGCGTTTGTCGTTGATACTCAGTTAATCAGTTTTAATTAATTCATAATCTACTCCTATATTATTGGCTATTTTCTGTTTCTTTGTTATGAAGTTGTCGTTACCTTGTGCGTGTAATTTGCCGCCTTTACATAGAATTTTGGAGCTAATCTATACATTGCTAGTTAAAATCTTTATTGTTTATAGGTTCTACAATTCTAATCCTCCAACGCTGAGTCCTTTACTTGGAACAGTTACATGGTGCGCGTTTGGTATCTTCTGGTTCTTCATTACATGTCTAACACTTATCAAGACTACTTTTACTTATCCTAGAATTGTAAGTATATATATAGATTATATAAAACACTATAATTTGTAAATATCTGTATAGTAAAATAGTCTGTCCACTATCTTGTTTGCAAAGACCGTTTCGTCAACGTTGGATTATTTGTTATGGCGCTACAAATTTTCTTGATTTTTTGGTTTTATTTTCCATTAGCAAACAGTAAGTCTGTTGTCGAGCATCAATTATTGATTGTTATCGTGCTTCATTTAGTTTAATTATATATATGAAATATAATTGCAAGTCTTTAATAGTATTATTCTCTTCCATATATATTAAGGCAATTGAGGTTAGTTTATCCATTCGTTTTTGCTGACAGTCTTATACTATGTTCTACGGAGTGGGTCCACAACCTGTTTCTGCGAAATTCCTGCATGTACGCTTCGTTCTATGATGATTAATTGTGCACTAGGTGCTTTTAACTTTCACTACTTTTAATTATTTTATTGAATTAACATGTTGTATATTTAAGTGATGGTTAGAACACACACATAATAATTTTCCTTTTCCTTTTAGGTTTCTACTATCTGCTTGATTCGATAAGCAGTGTCACACTTCCTTTGGTTTAGGCACAATATTGTTATAAACATTTAGTAGTATTATGTTTTGTATCGAAACAGTTAAAGTTAATTCCTACATTTGTTTCAGCTGGCTGTCGTAGATTATGTTCTACGGATATGGACACATAACCTGTCTTCGCATATACACTTTCTTCTACGATGAGTAATTGTTCATGAGGTACTTTTCACTTCCACTGTTTTGTAATTATTTTATTGAATTACACATTTTATAATTAATGGTTAGAACGCACATGATAATTTTCCTTTTCCTTTTAGGTTTGCATGATTCGATAAGCACTGTCACACTTCCTTTGAGTTAGGCACAATATTGTTATAAACATTTAGTAGTATTATGTTTTGTATCGGAACAATTAAAGTTAATTCCTACATTTGTTTCAGCTGGCTGTCGTAGATTATATTCTACGGATATGGACACATAACCTGTCTTCGCATATACACTTCCTTCTACGATGAGTAATTGTTCACGAGGTATTTTCCACTTCCACTGTTTTGTAATTATTTTATTGAATTACACATTTCATATTTAAGTAATAGTTAGAGCACGCATAGTAATTTTCCTTTTTCCTTTTAGGTTACCACTGTCTGCAGTATTCGACAAGCAGTGTTGTTCCATATACTACCGTACTCTGTTGTCTCTTGAAATCGTTCTTGTGGTCTGTTTCGATTGTGTTAGTTTTAACTTGTTCGAGTGTATTGTTCATGGAATCCCTTTTACTTTAATCTTGACGTTTTGTGTGTGGATTCTGACAATAGTGCCTAGTTTATTGAAGTGTGTTAATATGCCTAGGTGTTTTATATATTTTATATCTAGTTGTATATAAAATATATTTTGTTTATTGTGGTTTTGTATGTCCATATTTGCTGTATATTAAATTGCTTGATATTCCCTGTTTGTTATAAAGGTGTGTATTCCTATCGTTCCATTCCTTTTTCCTTTCCTTTGAATTGTTCATGAAGTTATTACGAGATTTGATTAAATTGTCGAATTGTAGGTTATCCTGATTGAATATAGTATTTTGTCGTGATTTATTAATTAATTTGTGAGTCACTTTTGGTTAATTGGTTCTTCATAATTTATCCTTAGTCGAATTATGAAATTATAGGTTATGTTGTACTCTTTATATTTACTATTTCGTTAGAGTACCTATTTTTACTTTATTATCTGTTATTTGCCCTCGTATACTACTTCTCTATTTTTGACAACATTTAATTAATCTTTTATTAAAAAATTTCCATTTTCGTTGTATCGTTCATTCGTTTTGAATATTCGAATTGTCACTCGCCTTATTTGTATATTGCGGTTTTCCATCTTTTGTTACGGCACGTGCGGAGCGCGGGACGTGACAGCACATTAATGAATCGCCAATGAGGAAATGTCCTGGAGTGAGGACTAGGAAATCATTTGGATCGGTGGAGATAGGAGTTTGCGGGTGTGAATTGAGGACTGCTGCTTCTCTGATGAGAGTATTCAATTGCTCAGAGGTGAGTAACTCGTTGCTGGCTACACGCCTAAGGTGGCGTTTTAAGGACTTCACCGCTGCTTCCCATAGCCCACCGAAATGCGGGGAATGAGGGGGAATGAAGCGCCATTCGATTTGTTTGTCGGCCAAAAATGCGGTTACTTTTTCTTTGTGGTCGTCCGATTGTAATAAATCATGAAGCTCTCGTAACTCGTTGCTTGCTCCTCTGAAGTTGGTGCCATTATCAGAATGGATGGTGGAGCAATACCCTCGTCGAGCGATGAATCTGCGGAGAGCGGCGATGAAGGCTTCGCTAGTGAGATCGTCAACGAACTCGATGTGTACCGCTTTAACTGCTAGGCATAGGAAGATGGCTACGTATACCTTTATCTGTATACGAAGATGGCTACGTATACCTTTATCTTACGACGGTTATGATCTCGTTTTTCCTTGATGTGGAACGGCCCGCAGTAATCGACGCCGACGTTTGTGAATGGGTGAGATTCCGTTACTCGCGCCTCCGGCAGATCAACCATTCCGGCGGTGGTTGAGCGCGGCAGCAGCGGACGCAGCCTTTGATCGCCCGCCATACTTGACTTCGACCGTCGACGGGCCAGTATCTTTGTCTTACTGCGTATAGCGTAGCCTGCGTTCCGGAGTGCATGTGGATCTTGTGCTCATGTTCTATAATGCGTATATGATGCGTGTTGTAACGGATGACTTAGGTAATACTATGGGATGTTTCTGGGCGAAGGTCATCGACGAATGACTGAGTCGACCCCCGACTCGCAATATTCCTTCCTTGTCAACGAACGGGTTGATTCGCGTGAGCTTACCCTTTATCGCCGCGCTCCGATCTTTTTGGAGTGTACGAATTTCCTCGGAGAAATGGATGTTGTGCAACAATTTTATCAGCTTATTGTGCGTTATGCGTAATTCGGTAACGGTTAGGGGTGTCGTTCGGTTCTCTTTCTGTTTCCAACGGAGGCAACGAGCTATGATTCGTATCGACTTGGGCCAGGATGAATATCTTTGCAACAAACTGTAATCGGCGGGGTTCGCGGACAGACAAATCGCCCCCTTCTGCTCCGGTACTTCAACTTGCGGTGTTAGCGCCCATGTCGGCCAGTAGTTTTCCGGCTGGTAGAGCCATGCAGGACCGTGCTACCAGATGGTTGGGCGCAGAAACTCTTCGGGTGTTTGGCCGTGTGATATTAAGTCCGCGGGATTGTTGTTGGTGGGAACGTGCGCCAATCGCGGATACTGGTTTTTGTTTGAATTTCGGACTCTGTTAGCGACGAATGTTTTAAGGGTGTGAGGTGATGTATTGAGCCAATGGAGAACGATAGTGGAATCGGTCCAATAGATAGTTCGAGTAATTTTCTACAATAGGGCTTGTTGCACGGTCGACATCGGGGACGTAAGAAGGAGTGCTCCACTCAGCTCGAGCCGAGGAATGGTCTGGTACTTGAGCGGGGCGACTTTCGATTTTGCGGTTAAAAGTTGGGTCCAAACACGGCCGTTGGTGTTAAGGGTTCGGAGATAAGTGTGCGGAGATAAACACAGGCTCCGTAAGCCCTTTCGCTGGCATCGCAGAAACCATGCAATTCAATTTCCGTTGCGGACTTGATTATTGCCTTGCGTTGGAACCTAACGTTGTTTAATAAGGGTAATTGGGCATAGTACCTGTCCCACTCTGTATTTAACTCGATCGGAAGTGATTCGTCCCACTCGACTTTCGATGACTATATTCGTTGAAGCAGCATTTTGGCCCAAACAATCACCGGTGCGAGCAGACCGAGCGGATCGTAGATTTTTGCAATCTCCGAGCTGATGATTCGTTTCGTGACTCGGGAGGAGGTGGGTTTGACTTCGACCGAGCAAAGAATGGACTCGGGAGGGCGTGGGTTTGACTTCGACCGAGTAAAGAATAGAGTCTTCGGATGAATTCCAAAACACCCCCAGCGTCTTCAAGGTTTGCGAGTCGCCCAAAAAATGTTGGTGATTTGTTTCTTCTAAGGAAAGCCCGCGTAATAAGTCATTGTCGTTTGATGCCCATTTTCGTATATTTAAGCCGGCCAGTTGAAGTAAATTGGTGAGTTCTGTTCTGAGCGTAAGGGCTTCGTCCTTCGTTTCAGCTCCGGTGAGAGTGTCGTCGACGTAGAAATCCCGCTGCAGTACCTGCGCTGCACGTGGAAATCGATGTCCTTCGTCCTCTGCCAGTTGCTTGAGTCACTATTGATTAATTGGATCTTCATAGTTTATCCTTAGACGAATTATGAAATTATAGGTTATGTTGTACTCTTTATATTTACTATTTCGTTAGAGTACCTATTTTAACTTTATTATCTCTTATTTGCCCTCGTATACTAATTCCCTATATATGACTACATTTGCTTAAACCTTTATTTAAACAATTTCCATTTTCGTTGTTTTCGTTGTATCGTGCGTTCGTTTTGGATATTCGAATTGTCACTCGCCTTATTTGTATATTGCGGTTTTCCGCCTTTCGTTACGGCACGTGCGTAGCGCGGGACGTGACAAATCGACGAGATCATTGCGATTTGCGAGCTGTTGGGATTGTTTCGACGCTGAAACGGGCGAGCATTACATTTGGTGTGTAAAATGGAGTGAAATGAGCGCCTAAACGTCGAAATATCTCCAACGGGAAGGAAATGACGACCAGTTTTCGTCAAAATGGACGAGATCATTTGATTTGCGAGCTGTTGGGCTTATTTCGACGTTGAAACGGGCGAGCATTACATTTGGCGTGTAAAATGGAGTGAAAAGAGCGCTTAAACGTCGAAATGTCTCCAACAGCAAGGAAAGGACGGATAACTATCGTTAAAATCGACGAAATTGTCACGTAATTTTTAGAGTTAGTTGGTGAAAATAAAATATAGTTGAGTCGTAACTCAACTATTAACTTTGTTTTAATCAACCTTTATTATGAATTCAGCAATCACAATGTAACACGCACTGAATTAACATAAATCACAATTCACTCCAACCACGTTATGTAAGACTTAGTTACAACAATACATTAAGTACGCGACTTATAAGGGTAGAGACCGATATAGATATGTTGACTATTCTAAGGATACAGAATAAGTGAAGTTTTACTGACGATACTGTGTCTGAGGAAGGCTAGGGGTGGGTGTGTCTAAGGACACGGGACTATCGGATTTGTTGACGACAATTTTGGTTAAGGAAGTGAGGGCAGTAGACACCGTCTCTTGGATAATAAGACGGTTGGTGGACCAGGAAGGGTTTAGCCGCCCTCGCGAGAAAGTTGCTAACGGAACATACCTAATGTGAAGAAAACCAACTTTCTAAGCTAACACGTGGTAGACAATAAACGTAAAGGGAAATCTAAGACAGGAAATACTCGCTTGGTCCGAAGGACCTTAACTATGAAAATTTCAAGGCCCCTGGTGGGCACTTAAGACTATTGAGGGTGCGCACCAAGAATCTGCAGACATCTGGGGTGCCATCCTGTCCGCGGTGTGTGGCCTGGTCTCTGATGTGAATTGACGTTACAACTGCGAAGTTAAAGAAGAAGAGGATATACAATTTTAAATTTCCTACCTTGAATTGGTGCGATGTCGATTAGGCGGTGTGGTATGGTTTGGTGATGAGTCGAATTCTGGCAATTCAACTTTGATTTCGCAGATGAACTGGCAATATGAACGCTTTGATTCGAATGGTGATGAACGCTCGGATTTTCGAAACTAATCACTATGGATAATCGGGTTCGACGGACCGAGTCACGATGCGAGCGCTTTGATTCTCGAATAGTTATTCGACGCTCGGACTTTCGAACTTAATTAACTTTTCTAATACTAGATTTTAACGGACAGAATGATGATGTGAACGGTTTGAACTGACTTTACACTTTAATTGACTTTACTCGATTTTCGACGGACAGCTTTCGTCGAGAAAAGCCTTCGTTCAGAAAGTAAGGGAAATTGGCGTTGCTGCTAATTGGTCAATCTCCATATCGGTGGTTAGAAAAATATGTTAGCCGCTCTCGAGGGAAAGTTGCTAGTGGGAGACGCCGCTCGTTGAAAAATAGGTCTCCTCTATCTTCTCGTAGTTGGGACAAAGACCTTTTGTCTCTTTGAAGGACTTTAGTTGACTAAACCTTAAGATTTATAACGGGCCCTCGGGCTAGCCGAACGTGTACTGCGGAGACGCATCGACATCTGGCAATCATCTTACTCGAAGAATAGGGTCTGCGTGTGGCGAGCCACGGGACAGAAACCGTTAAAATATTTA